CCGCCAACAGCAGCACAATCGGCACCGTCGTCATCATCGGCGCTCCTTCCCGCGGTGCGGGGCTGGCGGGCTCGAGGCAGCGTTCGGCGGCCTCGGCAGCGCGCGCGGCGGCCGCTGCTCCTCGCAGGGCTCCCGTGCGGTGCGCAGGCGTGGCCGCGCGGCCGGGGCCGCGGCGAGGGCGAGCCGACGCAAGCCCAAGGGAGCGGGTCGGTGCACTTCTCGCGCGTTACATGCATGCATACTTACATACATGCATACATGCATACATGCATGCATGCATGCATACATACATACATATGTACATATCTATATATAAATATGTATATAGACATACCTACACATACTATATATGTAGGTGCGTGTGTGTGGTCTAGGGCTCCGGTCGTGATGGTCGCGGTGGAGTTGCATGTTGTCCGCAACGCGGGATCTCAGGAAGCGGTAGTCTGCCTTGGTGGGGGCTCCCTCATCGCCACGGGCGGACGCAGCTCGGAAGACAGTTGCGTTTTGGCCCGTCCGTGGACGGACTTCAAGCTGCCGTGGTCTCAATGCGCCCTGCTCTTAGGCAGGGACAGGGGGCCATCTCGGAGAGTTTCGGGGTTCGGGGGGTGGCGCGCGCATGGAGGAGCTGCTTCCTTGCAGGCCTCCCAGATGGGGCCGGAGTAGATGGGGACCTCCTCCTCCTCCTCCTCCTGTCGTCTCCTCCTCACTCTCCTCTTCCTCCTTCTCCTTCTCTCCTCCTCCTCGTCCTCCATCTTCTGCCTCCTCATCCTCCCCCTCCTCCTCCTTCTCCTCCTACCCGCAGCGCCGATGCAATGCCGAGATGCCACGCCGATGCGGCCCGATGAGGAGTCCGATCTTTTTCACGCTGACGTCGCCGCTGCATGGCCGACGTTGCATCGGCGATGCGCGAGAGCGAGATCTTCCAATCCCATCTATGGTCGAAGCGAGGTATGAGATCGAGGTTGGTTCGAGGATGGTACCCCAATTCTCTTAGTGGTTGCTGGATGTTCTTGTGCAACTTTGGGGACGGTGGCCTCGAATGCTCTACACATTTGGCCGGCTCATGTTCTTTGAAGGATGTGTTTCTGTCTTAGGTTTAAGAAGGCATGTCCCTCTCCAAGAGGAGTATACAAGACATTGAAACATAAGATGGTGACGAAGCTCTGCGATTGCTTGAAGACTTGCTGATGATTGCCATGACTACTTTGAGTTGTCTTCCGAAGTCCGCCGCTAGAAGGACATCCCCGACCGAACCCTGACCAAGAATACCTCTGCCCCCTGGACTACAGCAGCAGACGCGAGACGCCGCGCACGGGACGCGAGGGCTCCCTCGCTCCGGGGGAGGGTCGGCCTGCTGGCCAAGCTCGCCTGCAGGTCCGGGAGGCAAGCCCAGATTTCGCCGCTGGGGACCTGGAGCCCCTGAAGTGGCCAGAATCACTAAACCCCCTAAAGTCGCTGGGGACCCCCTAAACCCCCTAGGTTCACTAAACCCCCTAGAGCCACTAAAACCCCCTAAACCCCCTCAAGCGGCCAGAAACACTGGCCCCTGAAGTCGCTGGGGACCTGGAGCCCCTGAAGGACTGCCGCAGCTGGTGTTTTTGTCGGGTGACGGCAGCTCCGGGGAGTGGAACGGGGGCGGGGGGGCGTCCCCCAGCGCACGTCACTGAACCAGGTCCCTCGAAGCCCAGTTCTGCCAACGCCCGCCCTTGGCTTCGCTGGGGACTGGCTTCCCCCCCATAACGGCGAGAAGCCCTCCCAAAACCCTCGCGAAGCCCTCCGAACTTGACTGTAGGTCTAGTCATCGCAGGGTTCGCTGGGGCAGGGTTCCACCCCCCCAAAAAAAAAACACTCCGTTCTCACCAGTGCCAGGGTTTTCATACGACGCCCGCCAATACCCCCACTTTGTGGGGGGTCGGTTCAAGCTCTACCACATTTCCAAACGACTCTTCGCCACCACCCACACCCAGCGTTCGGACACTTCACTTCGTGGCCTGCGGACGACCGTGGCTACTACACTGGCGCATGGGTACAGTGACTTGTTGTGGTAACATTTTCTTGACGCTAGCTTAGTATACGACTTTTCCCCCTGTTCCAACAATGGTTATGTTTGAAAAGTGTTGGGTGTACCTACATGTTTGACAGTTTGAAGAAGTGTTGGGTCTACGTTTGACAGAAATGTTTAAAAAGTGTTGGGTTCCCTACAAATCCGCAAGAGCGCGCGGGATGAAATTGTGACATTTTTTTTTTTGAAAAAACCATTGGTTTTTTATGTTAAAATCGTTACGAACACTAAGGTTTTGGAAGGATTTCGTCTTGCGCGCGCGAATGTCCACTTTACCTTTTTTTTTGCAAGGGATTCTTGAAATTTGATTATATTAGAACAAGAAATGTCATTTTCTATTGTTTCTTGCAAGGGAAAGCGGATTACAACAAAACAACCGGATCCTGTACACACCCTCTTTTCTGAGGCTTCCTCACGAAAATGATGAAAATGTAGCTGCGGCCTAGGCGGCGCAGGGGGGGCGCGCGCCAGGGGGCCCAGCAATAATTATTCTTTAAAGTAATAATGTTCAACAACAACAACAACAACAACGAAAACGCGTCCAAAACCCTGGCGACACCCTCCGATGAGCCTCCGGGAACCCTTCCCGGAGGGTTTTCGGAGGGTTTCGGGAGGGCTTCGGCCTTCTCGGAAGGAAACCAGTCCTTGGCAAACCTTGGAGTTTCAGGAGGGTTTCGGGAGGGTCTCGGCTGTTTTGGATGGGCCTGCTTTCCACCACCACCACCACCACCATGAGTTGGAGGGGGGAAGGAGGTGGAGAGAGAAGAGGAGGGAGAAGAGGAGGAGGAGGAGGAGGAGGAGGAGGAGGAGAAGGAGGAGGAGGACCCCCTGGGGGCCGGTGCCAGCGGGGGTCAGCAAGAGCGCCCGATGCTGCGGGATCCTGCAGGGAGGAGGAGGAGGAGGAGGAGGAGGAGGAGGAGGAGGGGGAGGAGGAGGAGGAGGAGCAGGAGGAGGAGGAGGAGGAGCAGGAGGAAGAGCGCCCAGCGCACCGCGGGGCGCCCAATGCTCAGGCGAACGCAAACATGGATCCAGGGGGCGTGGACTAGCGACGGGCCCCGTTTCCACGGTCAGGAGCGAAAGAAGGACGTACACGTACACATTACCCGAATGTTCGTATCCCCGCTGGTTTCGAGAGTACGCATTACCCGAATGTTCGTATCACGCGGCCAGTCTCGCGGATCGAGGGGTCGTGTTCATGTACATAGCTGGGCGCGTACGTCCTTTGTGGGCTCGCTACACGGGAGATCGCCGATCTCCGCCGCCGAGCGGGGCGTTACCTGGGCAGTTTGGGGAGGGCACCTCCCCCCGATCCATGAACTTGGCGACCGCGCGCCAAATCCATGGATCGCTAGTCCAGGTTCGCGCGCCCCCGAATCACGGGGCGCAAGGGCGCGAAGCGTGGCGGGTTACGGTAGGTTCACGCGGCGATGGCGCGCCAGCGGCGCCGGCGAAGGCGCTCCAGCTTGAACGCCGCACGATAGGGCAAACCGGAAGTACCGAGGGGCACGAGAACGCCACAGGACCCGACGGCATTAAACTTGGAACGATCGGGGCCGCGATCGGATCAAAGGTGAGCGATCGAGACGGCGTGAAGCACTGTCGCGCGCGCCGACGCCGCACGAACGCACAGTAGGTACATCTCCGCAAGGGGGCCACGCGCGATATTGGACGGCCTAGATGCGTGGGGGCGGTTTCACTTAGCATCTCTCACGCTTCGCTTGTGGAGATTGTCGCTGGGTTGTTCGATCTCCTCGCTTCCCCCCTCCAAAAATCGGGAGGGGAAGAAACACACGGACACAATTCCTAGGAAAATGTGGGAAAATCTAGAAAGTGGTGGGGAAGACGAAAACCAAGGAAATGGCAGAGAAACTTGGGGATCCTGGGGTTCGTGCGTATTTCTTTGTGTCCCTGGGCCCCGCCAAGACAACACACCAAAAGAAGACACACATCCCCGTGAAGGGGCCGGTGCTCCCAGCTCTGGTGGCCTCTCCAGCGGGCGGGGGCCCTGCACGAGGGGCGTGAGCTGAAGTCGGGCGTGTCCCTCTACAGGGGGAATATTCAAAAATAGTCAAAAAATAGTCAGGGACGATTTTTTGACTACTGTTGCCCATTGGGGGGGGTACTTTTTGAGTAATTGCTATTTTCCCCTGTAGGGGGGGGGAGGTGGCTTCGGAAAGCCGGAGACAAGACCGACCAGCAGAACCGCCTCCGTCGGCGGCGCGAATAGCGGATCCAGCGGTGCGCACCAGGGCGGTAGCATCTGGGCCCCCCCCAAAACCCCACCAATTGCAGTGAGGCCAACGCAAGAAAACCTCCTCCTTCGTACTGTAAGTAATCCTACTCCGTCACTCAATCAATCTCATCTCCTCCTCCTCCTCCTCCTCCTCCTCCTCCTCCTCCTCCCCCTTCTCCTCCTCCCCCTCCTCCTCCCCCTCCTCCTCCCCCTCCTCCTCCTCCCCATCGTGCAGTGGGAGGCCCATGCCCTGCTTGTCTCCGGGGTGCCCTGGGCTTCTTGGGCCTCGGCTGGTTCTGCGACGGGAGGCTTGGCGCTCTCCCACGCCAGAGATCACAATGGACGCCCTGGGGTCTCAGGGCTGGGCCTCTCGTGGAAGGACTCCTGTGGCCGGGCCCCTATACTGCTTGTCTCCAGGGTGCCCTGGGTTTCTTGGGCCTCGGTTGGTTTTGCGACGGAAGGCTTGGCGCTCTCCCACGCCAGAGATCACAATGGACGCCCTGGGGTCTCAGGGCTGGGGGCCTCTCGTGGAAGGGCTCCTGTGGCCGGGCCCCTATACTAGTGCATATGGTGGGCGTGCCCCAGGAGGGAGAACGGGCACACGGGCACGAAAAGAGTCGTCGACTCCCAGGGGAATGCGGAGTTTCTCTCGCGCTAAACTGTTTCCTGGCTTGAGACAGGGGCCAGAGACAGGCGAGCCAATGGCTATGGCTCGGGGGCACATGCCCCGTAGACCTGAGCTAAGAGGGGCCAGTGCGCGATAATCATCTCGCTCTGGCCGCACCTGGGGTGCTTGCCCTGCAGGAAGCGGCGCATCTTGTGCTGGGCAGCTTCATTACGCTGCCAGCCGACCACACCGAAGCTGGGGCAGGCTTTACCCAGCCCCAGCGGCTTCGAGGTGGCATACTGGCAGCATTTCTTGCAGAACAAAAGGGTGTCACCGACCCCGGCCTCGGGCCGAGGGGTGAGCTCACACCATTCAATATCGTGGGTGTGGGCAAACTCTGTCACCCGCTTAAAACTCTCAGGGATGTCGCTTTGCCTACAGTCCTTACGGTCCAGGGCACTGTCTGGAGTCACCTTCGACCGCAAACATCGCATGCACTGCCACCTGGAGGGCCCGACCTGGACGAACTCGTGAGCGATCAGACAGGCTGGCGTGCGGCCACTGTGCGGCCGCCTGAGGTCCTTCCATTCATCCCGAGGGGCTGGTCCCGACTCGAGCACACGGGAGGCGGCGGATAATAACTTCTTTATTTTTACCTGCGGAACTGGATCTACCCGGCTGGCCGATCGCAGGCCGCCATGGGGTGTAGTATCTTATCTTTTTGGCGGCCAGTGACGGCTGTCCAAACCGCCGGCCTCCATTGTCTCCGTCCCGGGCAGGTTGGGCCCTCGGGTGGGCCTTATTAGTTCAGAGCGCAAGTCGGCCCGTCCTGGCGCTGAGAGCCCCCACGGATACCCCCGAAACGCCCCGAGGTGTGGCCCACCACACCGGCCCCGGCCGGAGCCAACGAGCTGACGGAAAAGCCATTCACCTCTTCATAGGGGTACCGCTCTCGCTGACCTGCCCTTCGGTCGCAGGCGGAGTCGGCCAGCAGCCTATAGACTGGGCCATGCGCGGGGGCACGGTCCCTAACAGGCGCCGGAGGCAGCCCGTGGCGGGGTCCCTTTGCACCACACCGACCCCCCCCCTCCGAAGCGAAGCGAGAATCGAGGTCGACGCCGATCCATCCCCCGCCACGGGCTCCCCTGGGACAAACTAAAAGCTGCTCAAACCAACCTCCTCCTCGCCTACAAAGGCCCTGACGATCGTGGCAGGGGGCGGGAGGGCGACAGCAGCATCAGGCAGCGAGGGGAGGAGGTGAGACATGAGGAGAGGATCGTGGCACGCCTCGCACCCTTTCACAACCTCGGTCCAATTCTCCCCCTGCCCCAAGCGGCCGGCCTCGAAGCAGACGCAGCCCAGGGCACGATGGGCGGGCGCATCTGTCACCCCGCAGCGCGGGCACGCCGGCGCAATCAGGTAGCCCCACTGGTGGGCCACCTGCCTCGTCATGTAGGTCCCGCCTGCCAAGGAGGTCACCACGTGCCGCGTGAGGGCCGTCACGTACTTGTTCTCGACGACCGCGCGCAGGCCTTCCCACCAGATGCCAGGGTGGTCATCCGCCAGGGCGTGCCGCGACCTGGCGGCCACGTCGGCTCGAGCAGTGGTGGTCGCCAGCACGTCCAGCTCGAAATACATGCCAATCTCCTTGGGCCCGATGCTGAGCACGCAGAGCTCACCTAGCGTGGGCGAGATGAAAGAAGTGGCATGCTTAGCCTCCAGCCGGCCCACTTCAGCGACCGAAGCATCGCCCCAATAGGCCCCGCTTCGGGCAAGTCCTTGTCCAGGTCCTGCGAGGCCACGTCGAAGGCGCTCCGCAGGTCCTTGGCCGATAGCACTCGGCCGTTGGCCTGGCGCTGATCGGTGGTCCGCCACCACTCCTCCGCGTAGCGCACCACCCCCATGGAGACCGCGCCTGCCAACGGGTCCAGCTTCGGCTGCAGCGCGCCGAAAATGTCGCTGGAAATGTGGGGGTGGCCGTAGTGCCGCTTGGCCCGAGACCTGAGCCCCTGGACCTCGGAGTCCGCGAAGCCCGTGACCTCGCCGCCCCAGCGGGCCGAGGGGAGGATGGCGGTGTGCCAGATCCTCCTGCACCCCGCCACCTGGGCCACGGCCCGCAGCGCCTTGCGCAGGCGCGCCTTGCCCAGCCGCACTCGTGTCTTGCGGACAGGGCCCGCGCGGTGCACGACCCCGGCCGATTTGCCAGCGCGGGCGCCTCGCGGTCGGGCGCGCCTTCCTGCGCGGAAGTCCTCCCCCAAGTGCCGCATGGCGGCCGCTCCGCTTCGCCGGGCGCGCCTGGGTCCCGCGCGCTCGGGCAGCCCGAGGCTGCGCAAGGCCTCCTGCGCCCGCTCCGTTAACGCCACGGTGCTGCCCAGGAGCGCGCCCTTGCTGCCGGCCAGCACCATGTCCAAGTCCTGCTCCATCGCCGCCTTGAGGTCTCGGGCACTGTCCCCGAGAAGCTGCACGACTTCAGCTTCCGAGTCGGCCGTGACCTCCTGGCCGATGTCATCGATGTGGACCGACAGCAGCACCTCGGGATGCCGCTCCTGCTGGGCTTTTAGATCCATGATCAAATAGGCGGCCAGCGCGTACGTGGCGGCAAAGCAGCCTGCCACCACCCCGTTGTCGGGTAGGATGCCGCTCGCCACGATGCCATCCATGACGACGTAGCGGGTCCACCGGTAGGCGTTGATCACCACCCGCAGGATGGGCGCAGGGAAGCCAACCCGCCTCGCCAGGTCGATCAGCTTGGCGCGGTTTACCTTCTCGAAGGCCTTGGCGAGGTCCCACAGGAGAACGAGGAAGGCGCGGTCAAGCCCCGCGGCGGCTTCGCCGCGAACCGCCGACCTCCAGACGCAGTCCGTGACCTTCCTGCCCTCGCCCGTATTGAGGATGCCCCAGTCGTCGAGCGCGCGCTGCCAGGCACGCAACTTACCTCTCTGGCACCTGCCCCATACACGGTACAGGGCCTTGAACTGGCCGATCGGCCGCCTGCCACCGCCCAGGGGCTTGGGGTACTGCGCCGACAGGAGCTCCTGCTCGCGCTCGGGCATGATGCCCGCGGCAGTGACCAGGTTGAGCAGGTCCGCCGTTGCCGCGAGATCGTCGAACCAGCCCAGGTGGCGGGGGTGCGTCCCTGCAGGAGTGCAGGTTCCCTTCTTAAACTGGGACGCCGCCTTGGAGACGTCCTCGGCCGACACCCTGAGGTGCTGATGCCCCAGGCCTTCGTCGGCCACCATCGCGTCCAGCGCCCCCTGCACGAAGGTAAGGCGCTCGGCAGCAGCCTCCTGACTGAGCCCGTTCCAGTGCCCGCGCCACTCCGCGCGGTACTTCTCGAGCAGCGCGACGGGGTCCGCGGCCCGATCGTGGGCCAAGCCACCCGGCTTGGTCAGCATCGGCGCGCCCTTGGCGAGATCCTCCACGAGTGCCTCGCGCCAGGAGGCCCCGCCGCGCCTGACGCCCATGAGGTACTCCTTGCACAGGCGGGCCGCCGTGGCCGCCAGCACCCGAACCGCGGCATGGTACAGCCGGCCACACTCCGCCAGAGGGGTCTCGCCAACTGCCCCGGCAGCCCCGCGAGCTGGGGCTCCGGCGCGGCCGCCTGGGTCGTCGGGGGGCCCCTCGTCGCCGTCGCCCAGCGCGTCGAAGGGGCCCCACTCCCCGTCCAGAGTACACGCCCCAGCGCGGGGGTGGGCGTAGTCGGCGACCCTCGCCTCTGCACCCCCATGCAGGGCCTGGCCCGGCAGCTCGAACGTCGGGCGAGGCACCTCGGCGGCCCCCGCCTCCTCGCCCTCGGCGCCGTCGCTGAGGTTGGCATGCGCGAGCTCGAGCCTCCTGGGGGTGCCCAGG